AACTATCAATCAAAAATGAACATTTGCCCGCCGGTTAATCCGATTTTATTGTTAGCGATAGTTTATCAGTTAATTTTGTAAAAAATGATTACTAGGCAATAAATTGTGAAACAACTGAACATTGAAATGCAAATAAAATTTGCGAATCGATTACGAATTACGTATTCTTTTATATTAACAAAAAAAATATAGAATTGAAAATTAAATAAAAACTAGTAAAATGGTATTAGTCGGTTTTGCCGACAGGGTCAAGCTGTTGACCCTTTATGGTGGAGGTTCCGAAGCAGTTGGACAATATTGCCCAATTCGTGTCTGACCTAAGACTGATAAAATTATTACAGAGTGCCAGATTTGGACTATATCGACTACTTCCTATACTTTATATTAGAAATGTGTTAATTTTTAGAAAATTTTAAAATATGCGTGAGGTACCAGATATAATCGGTTGAAGTATTCCATTTCATGGGTATGAGCAAAATTTGAAGGAAATCGAACATTTATATCCAATTTTATGCGAAACCATAAATTCCAGATTTCTGGTTAAGAGAAATATTTAGATATAACAAATTGTGCAGAATCGCCGACTTGTTTCGCAATTTATGACAGATATAAGTGTAGGAAATTGTGACCCTATTATATATCGTCTTCACAACAGATCTGACATTAGCAAAGATATTTGGATGTATGAAATTTGAAGAGAGTTGGGTGCTTATATCGCTTTCTTTGGGCCTTTTGTTTTTCAAAAAACTTGAACCCTATGTGGTGGGGGTACCAGAAGAAAAGGTCCGATCTGTACCATCTCTATAATTGATCTTGTGTTTATTGTAACACCAAGTCTGAATGGATTCGGATGTTAATTTCGTGTTTTATGCACTTTATCGATATTCAAAATGTTGACCCTTTGTGCGGGAGGTACCAGAAGGAGTGGACCGGCATATCCCATCATCACAGTAGATCCTGTGTTAGTAGATATAATGGGATGTGTGAAATTTGAAGAGAATCGGATGCTTATTTCGGATTTTATAATCGTTTTTATTATTACAAACTTCGACCCTTTATGGGGGAGGTACCAGATGGAATTGTCCTATCTCTACCATCTTTATAACAGATCTTGTGTAGATGGAAATGTTGAGATGTACCAGATCTGAGTTGAATCGGATGTTATTTTTGCGTTTTATTAGCTTCATGAATATTCAAAATTTTTAACCTTTGTGGGGGAGGTGCCAGCAGGGTTGGACCGCTATATTCTATTTTTACACCAGACTTTGAGTTAATAAAAATGTTATGATGTGTGTAATTTAAAGACAATCGAACACTTACATCACATTTTATAAGAGTTATAAGTATTCAAAACTTTGAACCTTTGTGGGGGAGGTAGTTGAGGGAGTGGATCGATATTGTCGGTTTTCGCACCTGACCTAGCACTAATGAAAATATTGGGATTCGCCAAGTTGGAGAAAAATCGGATTATCCTCTCACTTTCTGTGCAGTAAATTATTTTCTTTGAAAATGTTGACATTTTGTATAGGAGGTACCAGAAGTAGTGGACCGATATTCCCCATCTCCGAACTCGATCTAAGTTTGAAAATAATATTACGATGTACCAAGTTTGGATCAAATCGGATACTCCCTTCGAGAGTTATCGAGCGCACCAGCCAGCCAGAAACGTCCAGGACGGACGAACATGTCCTGAAAACCGTTATTTCGATGAGGTACGTTTTGGGTGTATCAAATATCTCTAGCCATATGGCTGAGGATATAAAAAATTGGTTCTACTTGAAATCGATAACATGTCCCAATTCTAATGTTGTTTCATAAGTTTCTTTTAACAAATTAACAAATTACATGTGCCAAGATGAGTCGCCCTCCCTTTAATAGCTCTCCTTTATTTTTTCCATACAGAAAATAATGACTTAACAAGTCAAATATGGAATTACACTTTGTACGCCATAAGTTGGAGGCATTTCAGGCAAACATGTTGCGTGACGTTCAGAAACGTATGTCCGGTATGATAGACGAGGTCATGCAAGAACTACGTCAACAAGAACTGCAAGCCCATGAATTTCGTAATTTTGCCAAAACACAAAATCAACAGCAGTCAAACACCTGGAGTAATCGTGTACATTCAACAACAACAACGACGTCAGAGGAACCCTTAGAAAAAACAACTGTGGATGGAAATTCATTTCATGGTGACGAGGAAGAAGATGAACAACAAAATGCAACCGATAAAACTGCTACGCAATCACTCGAAAGAAGAACTTCGAATGTTTCATCAGATAGTGATCACAGTAAAAGCAATGAATCGACACATTCAAGAAAGAAGCGGCGTCTTCGAACACTTCCCGATAAAGTCTTCCGCAGTAGGGAGTCCTACCTGACAGCTCTTCTGGAAGTGGATCATATGAAGACAATATATCATATATTTTATATCATATTTATAGTGTTTTTGCTGAATAATGTCACCTACGATTACTTCGTTAATGGCAGGTGAGTAAAAGATATTAGCTTAAAGCTGAAACAAAGTTCTATTTATCAATATTTTCCTGTCTATTTTTTGTAGTGTAAATTTTGGCCTGGGAACATTTAAAGCAAGTTTTGCTAAAATCCAGTATGTTCTAGGAATATGGCTTGTGCAAAATACTTTTGTATGTAGCATATATTATGCACTTAGTGGCTGGTCCTTTGTCAGATCCAAACTTGCCAAACGAGGTATTTTTTATCAAACGAATATTCAAATATATATTTCATAATTCAAAATAATTGATTTCTTTTCAGAAACATTACAAAGTCTATGGTCCACATCCTGCCTTCTTTTATACATTACCTCCCAACTGATATTTACCTATTTGCCAACCAAAATTTGCTTAGTATTGGATCTGCCATATGTAACGGCATGTGTCCTGCTGCTGGAGAGCGTTCGCATGCTAATGAAAATGCACGGATTCGTAAGGACAATAAGTGCTCGGCTACTGCAAGGCAAATTAAAATCTGATAATGACACAGCAGAATCCAAAGGCTGTCTTATGCCACCTTTCCAAAAATATTTCTATTATTTATTTGCGCCTACTTTGCTGTACCGCGACAACTATCCCCGTACAGCAGTTATACGTTGGAAATTTGCCCTTGGTCGTTTCCTTGAGGTCGTGGCCATTGCATTCCTCTACAGCTATATTTACGAACGTCACATCAAAGTTATTTTTGGCAATTTTGGTATAGAGGAGATAACCATTGGATCGATTATCATTAAGTTGTTTGGTATGCTAATGCCATGCATTATTATCTACCTATGTGGTTTCTATTTAATACTGCATTCATGGTTAAACTTTACGGCCGAATTGTTGCGTTTCGGTGATCGCATGTTTTATCGCGATTGGTGGACAGCCAGTAATTATGAGGCATATTATCGCAATTGGAATGTTGTAGTTCACGACTGGCTCTATGAATACATCTACAAAGATTTCTATTTGTATATCTTTAAAGGTTCCAAATTTGCATCCTCCCTGACGGTGTTCACCATATCGGCCCTATTTCATGAGTATGTGTTGGGATATGCGTTGCAAGTTTTCTTTCCAGTCATGTTTGTATTTTTTGGCATCATTGGAGTATTAATGATTTTCCTTACCCGCATCGCCCCAAAGAATCTTGGAAATATAATGCTTTGGTTTTCTCTGATCTATGGCAACTGCATGATGATCTCATTATATAGCATGGAGTATTTTACCCGAGTTAATTGTCCCAAAGATTCATATGACAGCTGGTCTGATATTCTAATACCACATTTGTGGAGTTGTTACATGAAGTGAAAGGAGTGCGATGGAGAACAAAGGGGGAGCATATTGATTGAGATTTCTTCTGATTATTTTTCAGAATTGTGATATTGCAAACATACAATATATATTGAAATAAATATGAATGTTCTGCTTAGTTATTAAGTTAAGTAACTATACTATTTTAGGAAAAATATATAATTTGAATAAATGTTTGAAAAAAGTGATTTTCGTTAATTTTTCATATAGCAGTGGTATACAGGGAGAGATGAAAACACTGCAACCAACTTCAGACTGCTGTCATTTCTAAGCCACTCGTCCGACTGCTGTTAAAATTATTCCAGTGACAGCTCTTTATATTGTTTACAAGCGTACAAAAGCATTTATATTTGCATGGAAAACCACAAGTGGATATCCTTAGAGCACTCCAGCATTTAAATGTGAATAAATCTTTTGTGTCTCGTACCATCGTTACCGTGATACTTGAAACGTATCCCGACGTTAAGGAAGTGGACGCAAGAAAACAGCAACATCAGCAGAAATAGTTCGTAAAGTAAAGAAGCGACTCGATCGAATCCTGCGTCGCAGTGGCGGCAAAATGACTAATGAGCTGAACATATCGCAATATTCCATTCGGCAAATATTGAAAAATGAGCTCGGAGTATAGCCATTGAAATTCCACCGTAACAGAAAGAAAATATACTCAAAAGTGCTAAAAAATTGTTTCGCTTGACCGAAAGTGGTGAACTGCCGAATTTCGCTTTGACCTATGAAAAAACATTCGTTGTCCAGCAGTTTGTAAACAAACAAAATGATCGTATTTACTTGCCAAAGAGGTCAGCTGAAAATGTGCACCTTCGGTTGGCCACCATGACTCAAGCGCCGGCCATAACAGCAGATGGTCGCTCTCCGCTCGTATTAATCGACCATGGCATCAAATAAATGTCGAATATTATCGCGAAAATATTCTTGAGGGTGTATTAAAGCCGTGGGCACGCAAACATTTTGTCCGTAGACCTTTGACATTTCAACAGAACTCAGCACGAGCCATCCAAGAATGGTTACAAAATGAGATCCCTCGCTTTATTTCCAGCGCACAATGCCCAGCAAAATCTCCGGATATCTGGAGTATTTTGGAAAGCAAGGTTGGCACTAAAAAATACCAAAATGTCGATCACCTCAAGCAAGCGCTTCACCGGGAATGAGCCAAAATACCGCAGAGTGTGACGATTTCATTGGCCGTTTGAAGGCCATAATTCGTGCCAAAGGTGACCAATTCGAACAAATCTAAACATATTCTAAAATTTGATGCTATTTCCGACATTTTTTGCTTTCATTCAATAAAATTAAAAAAAAATGTAAACATTATGCCATTTTTGCTTTGTTGCAGGTTTTCATCTCACCCTGTAGTTATTCTTCAAATCAAATCGCATTAGCTGCAAATATTATTTCATTATCTGTGGATTGCATTGCAAGTTGTTTTTAAAACAATAATATTATCTGCCGTCCTAGGTTGCATTATCCAGCTATAATTCGCAGGCATGTGGCGCTGTGTGTGTATGTTGTAGTTCTTGCATTTGCCGACTATTTCACTTTACGTCGTACGCATTAAAAACGTAATTTCAAATTTATTCCAACATTTCTTTTATAAATATTTCAATAATTCATTTAAAACATTAAAAAAATAATATGAATTTACATTACCAATAATCATTGTCATAATACATAAACTTTACAGCGATTGCGATTGAAACGAGCACAATAACAAAAAACTGTAATTATTAGATGACTGTCTTTTACCTTTAAATTATTGTGCAATACAAGATTGATTGTATTGCATTTAAAATTAAAGCTTATTATAATAATAATGTATGTAAATAATATATAAACATTTGTAATATTCTTAAACCACTTTCTTAGTGTTACACTTTAGTGTTATATTTAAAAATCAAAAATAATATTGCTTCAAGCAATTTTTGTTAACTATATAAATCAAAGATTAAAAAACTATTAATTCTATGAATTCATAAATGCAAATTATTGTGACAAAAATTGAAACACCTAACACGTTAAATAATTCGCATTAAAGCTATCCTTTAAATACTCTTATTTTTAAAGAACACAGGAGAGATTCTATGCCATACTTAAAAAATAGGAATGACTTAGTAAAAAATTCCTTCTCAAGTAATACACTTTAGAAAAATTGCTTAACCTTTAAGCATATAAATACAGATATTCCTATAGCTATTGTTGTATACTTAAAATAGTATTTGATTTTAGAACGTTTACGTTCGGCCAGGTATTCATCGTAGTCAATGTAAAGAGGATTCTTAGGTGGGCTAAAACCAGCCAGCTGCATTATGTGGAATACAGAAGCTAAAATATTATTTGTAAACATTTAAATTATTGACAAGCTTACTTACATATTTTGTTGTTTTCTTTAGTTCTTTGATAGTTCCTTTGTAGCTTTTTAAGGTTCTTTGTAATGCTATGAGATTCTCCGTGGTTACCGGTCCCAAAAGCTTGTTTTGCAGGTGGCTCTTGACAAATTTTAAAGTTGAATTGATTATCACCAAGTGTTGCAAATGATTGGCAGTAATCATTAGAATTTCGTAAAAGCTTTGAAAAATGAAGAAATCAAATTATTTTTTTTTTCCTTTTAACTAAAGCTCTTGATCTTACTTTTCATGGGAAGATTTGCTAACGCGAGCAATTGATTTCTTGGACCAGTGATGCAAGTGGAAACTAAATCACAAAACAAAATATTTAATATAACAAAAATGCAATTAAGTTACCAAAAATGACTTACTCCAAAAGTCCTTTCATAATTTTCATCCGATATATGGGAAATTCTATGCCCAACTCTTTTAGACGTTCATCTTGCATGCACAAAAACTCCGACAAAGGTACACGTTCCTTAGCAAAATATTCCAAATAGTTTTCCATGCCAATAGACAACAGAATTGTGTTGATTTCTTGAAAATATTCCGGACATTCGGATTTCAAAAAAATACGCGGTATGTAGTCTCGCAGCGTATTATAACCCAAAAATTGTGATGGTATTACATATGCCTCCTTTTCCTTGGGTAATATTTCCAGCAGATCATAGAAACCATGAAACTGGGCAACCTGTATCGGTGTATAGCCCTTTTTATTGGCAATGGTGTAGTTAACACCGGCATCAACAAGCATCTTAACAATGTCAGCCCGATTATTTTCAATGGCATGAAAAATTGGTGTACAGCCCTGATTGTCCACAGCATCGAAACTAACCTCCTGTATGAGCATTTGTACGATTTTCGCATGACCGTTTTTGCAAGCCAGCATGAAGGGTGTAGTTCCATATTTATCAGCCACATTTATAATGGCACCATGTAACAACAATATTCTGGCAATTTTTTCAATCACCAGCGAGTCTTTGCAATTGGAATCGCAACAATTCATGAGGGGTGTTAAAGAATCAATTTGCTTGTTGACATCAGCTCGTTTATCTTCAATTAAATATTCAACAATATCTAAAAATCCCTCCTTGCAGGCATGCAGTAGCATTGTGAAACCATCTGAAAAGGGAAATGTATTGATTTCTAATGTAAGCATTGCTATTCCCCATTTACTTACATCTCACAGGCTCATCTACATCGAAACTGGTCAGTTCCACTTGTTGCTTGAGTTCTTGCAAATCTCCTTTCATTAAAGCTTCATATAGCTCCTCATCGCTATTTGTTTGCCAGTTGGTGACCGGTTTGTTTTTCTGTATAATCTGCAAGTAAAATACAATTGTCCTTGAAACTGCAGCCACACATTTATATCCTTTTGGTATACTCACATCATCGCCAAAAGCAAACCCATCGTAATCATCATCAGAATCGGAGTCTGGTGGTCGATATACCACATTATTTCGAGACATTTTGTTGGAAACTACTCTGCTCCTGTTATATTATTGAAACTATGGTCAGGAATTATAAAAATAATTTGTTTTTTTGTAATTCCAAATCCTGCTTATGGAGACGAGAAAGTCTCTGACAGCGCAACAATGAAGAGCGAATTATGAGAGCATTGGAAACAAAATTGAAAAACGTCCCAACGAAACGAATATGAAGGCCACAAAAGGAATGCCCGATAAAAAATAAACGAAAGCAAAGACTCGGGGTACTCTGTTTGTTTACGAATGAGACATGAGAGAATTGAACATCTTCACATAAGAGCGCATAACTAGTTGCTACTATCGTTTGCCGAACTCGACTATGGACTCGACCGAGGACACTGCATATTGCCTACGGAGAGTAAAAAAAAAAATATAATATTACATATTTTGGAAATCACACAAAAAAATACAAATAAAACGCAGTTTTTTTAATAAATTTATTTAATAAATAAACTGCGTTTTATTTGTTTTATCTATTGTTTTAAAGGCTGCTGCTGTTTACTGTGGTATTACGATAACCGATTTTACCTTTGTTATCGAAGAATATCAGGGTTACCAAGTCTAGAATATGAATGTATATCTCATTCAAGGTAAACAACAGAGTACCCGAGCGTTATGCATTACACCCATTCGTCTCATTCGTAAACAACAGAGTACCCCGAGTCTTTGCTTTCGTTTATTTTTTATCGGGTATTCCTTTGTGGCCTTCATATTCGTTTCATTGGGACGTTTTCCAGTTTTGTTTCCAATGCTCTCATAATTCGCTCTTCACGCTCTTGTTCACGGTAATCAGCAGCAGCCTTTAAATAAAAACAATAAATAAAACGCAGTTTTTTAATAAATTGATTTAAAGGACTAGCCAACATGTTGCGTCAACTAATTGTAAGTATATTGTTTACAACTGCAATTAATTGCATGTTTTATATTGGACAAACTGAACATTGCATAACCTTGTATTTCACCAGACAACTGTGGGTCGTCGCACACTGACTCCCCTCCTAGCGCGCACACAACGTTTTTCAGCCGGCGCTGCTGGTGGGGATGGTAAAGACGGCAAGCAAGATGTTGTTAATCATGCCGATGTTCCCATCATTGACTACGAGGATCCCGATTACCTACCCCTACCAGAATATCCATTTAGACCGGATGAACCATTGGATGTTAAGAAACAAAGGTGTGTTCGATACAATTATTTTTTTGTAAAATGCAACTAAAACAATCATAATCTTCTAGATTGGTATATCAGTCACGTAAGCGCGGCATGTTGGAGAACGATTTACTTTTGAGTACATTTGTAGCCAAGCACTTAAAAGATCTAAATGCCGAGCTCACCGAACAATATGATCGTCTCATTAATGGTGTCACCAACGACTGGGATATTTACTATTGGGCCACAGAGAACAAACCAACTCCACCTGAGTATCAGAACGAAATAATGGATATGTTAAAGGAACATGTTGCAAATGCCCAGCGGGAGAAACGTTTGAGGCAACCAAATTTGTAATGCAGTGAAATTTGTCTCCTGTTATTTTTATAGATCAACAATGAAATATGTTTTTTTCAACACGTGTGTGTAGCACAGGTGACAATTTGTACTTATGATTAGTAGTTTGTGATGTTAGATTATAATTGTTTGAATAACCTATAAAAGTGTTAATTTAATCTGAACTGTGTTTTTAAGTACCGTAGCAAATTTTATGAGGGATCTAAGGAGTGAAATGGACAAAAATACTTGTCAGAGCAAGACACTGCTGTTATTTGGAAGGAACGACTTTTTAAAAGGAACTGAAGATGCCTTGGTTTTTTAATTTCAATTTTATTCAGTTTTCAAAATATTTCAATTTGAATTAGTTTAAAATTGTCTGCCTGCGCGTTCATATCCAAAGTGCTAAAGTGAAAAGAATACAAATATGGATTGTAAGCCAACAGAAGAATTATGTCAGTCTGTCTCCAGATGAAATTTTCATTTACATCAAAAGGTATTTATTAATCCCTTTGAAAATATTTGATAAATAAAAATAGATTAAAAAAATTACAGTTACATTAAGTAGAATTTACATGCATTGTAGGACGAACGAATTTTAAAATATACATATCAACACCTTTCAAAAACGCGATAGAGGGCCGGCAAATTGGCCAGCTCATAAACATGTTTCCTCAGGCGACTTGGCGGAAGCAAATATTTCTTAAATGCCGAATAAATTACGTGCTCAGTTACCCAATGATGTTGCTTTGGCATTTCTTGAAGTTCAACCTCTGAGACCTTTGCATAATAACGTGCCGTTTCCCGACAAAATGTTTCGAAACATTCCTCCTCCACTTCCCATTCAACTTCCGTGGCCAATCTTAACAGGTAGATAGGTAAAAATACTTTACTCGGCATATGCTGAGTAATCAAGCAAGGTATGGTCTCTAATTCGCCGTTGCTATTGATATTCATTGAAAAATATTCACGCATTATCGGTGACTTTTCGATCAGTATTTCTGAGGCTCTTTGGGCTAATTCTTCTTTGTCACCATCTTCTTCGGTCCAACCACTTTCTGGTGTATCTAAAGCTAATTTGATCAAATCTTTTACTGGCAACGGTTCTGGCTTAATACTGATAATTTGGTGATTTTCAAACTCGTACAGCAGACGTTGATAAAATAGTTCTTCACTACAAACCACAAAAGGAAATATTCATTTTATGTGAACTGCCATGTCAAATATTACCTTAGCTTAATTGTATCTCCCATATAAAGCCTGGTCTCATGTTGAAACAGGGCAAACTGCTTGTCCACAACACCCACAAAAACCAACTCCTTGATCATTTTTCGCATTTCAACCGAACAACTGTCTTCTATTTTCTTTTGCATATTTAGGATGCTTGTAAGTTTGACTTCTTTGGTTTTTCTCTTGGCAACCTCGCGAAAACTCTCCTCAGCCGCTGTAGATGTTGAACTGGCACCACTCAAAGTCATCGAACAACCAGAATCATTTAGTTTAACCCCTTCGACATGTAAAAATTTGTACATACTCTGTTCTTTGCTATCAGTTCTGATCATATTTTGGGGATTTATTCTTTCGCCATTAACACTTTTCAAAGTGCTATCATGTTCTTTGCCGTCACCTGGGGATTCAGAGGCCCCGGGCATTTTTAATTGTTTATAAAATGTTCGAGTTTCATTGCTGCCCAGCAGTTGGGCTTCCAGAGTTTGTTTGATTTTTTCTACAATTTCATCTTCGTAGAGAAAATGAACTTCATGCTTTGTGGGATGGACATTGACATCAATATTGGATGGATTTATTTCCAGGCTTATGTAGGCGAACGGGTGCATTCCTCGGGGCAAATACGTACTGTATACATTATCAAGGGCGGTTTTCAAAGCTGCATGAAACAATATTTTCTATGTTTTCAAATTAAAGAACTGCATTAACTTACATGACACTTCCACAAGCCGATGATTAATGAAGAACAACGTAATTGCCTTCTTTGAACTGTAATTTACTTTTGTAATGTATCCTTTCATTTGGAATTTATGTACGTCGTCTTTCAACTCAACCGGCAACAACTCCTTGGCTATGGAAGCTCCATATAATATCTCAATATTTGTCTGTTGGCTACTGTTTGGTGGTGTTTTTATCGACGGCTGTTCGCCATAACGTTTCAATGTGAAGCCCACCTTTGAATTATGTATGGCATACTTGGACATAACATTGGATATTCTTTGAAACTCTTCATTGGGTGACTTGAGGGCCTGCTTTCTTTGTGGCATGTTGTAAAACAGGTCTTCAATGGTTATTATGGTACCCTGATTTCCAGCACAAGGTTTTGGTGGAGCTTTTAGCTTACCATCTTCATAAGATGCCCTTAAAGCACAATAACATAATAGATTTAGACAACTGTTCCCAAGGCAAAATGACCCAACTTACTTGTATGCACATTTTTCTTTGGCGGTCTTGGTCTGTATGGTTAAATGGGCCACATGACTCATGCTAGCTAATGCCTCTCCACGAAAACCAAATGTGGCTATGTTAGTAAGATCCTCAAAGCTCGTTAGTTTTGAGGTAGTGAATCTTTCGCAAACTATGGCCATGTCCTCTCTTCTTATGCCCGTACCATTGTCTTGGATTTGTAAGAGTTTTAGTCCTCCAGATTTTACGGTGACTTGTATAACAGTTGATTTGGCATCCAAACTGTTTTCCAGCAATTCCTTTAAAGCATTTGCAGGCCTTTGTATAATTTCACCGGCAGCTATGCGATTCACTACAACTTCATCTAGTTTTTTGATGATTCCTGGTTCTGCCATGTTTCGAGATACTTATCGTAATATGACGACGTCTTCCAGAATTAGAATACTTAATCCAAATGTGCAATTCCTATATAGCCAATATAATAACCTTCCTCTTATGCATCCAATATGCCAGTGCTTTTTTTGCTTTTGCAAAAATGTTAAACATTTAATGAATATCAGCGCCAATTAATTAAATTTATATATAATCATCTATAAATTAAATATATAATTAATTTATCAAGAAACCACAAATCACTACAAACCAAACAAATCGTGAACAACCCGCGCTTCCAAGAAGGACATGAAGGTTATCAAACGCCAATATGGCATCTCTTAAAGAAAAATGAAATTGGGAGCAAATGGAGATAAAGATGAAGAATCAAAACAAAAAGGCCGACTTCGAAGATGGGAGGGAAAACAAACTAGGTTAAGGGGTTTGTAGGTTCATAAAAAGAGAGCATGACACACAAGGTTCCAGGACTACAGAGTTGCTCGCTGTATCACCAAAATAAAAAACGTTCCAAACGCAATAAAACAAGAAATACAATAATAACAATGCTCGTTAAAAATAAAAGTAAACGTGGGCTTTGTTTACGAAGGAGTGTAAAGTACAACGCCGAGAACTCCTCTACGGTTTACGATTGAGAAATATATAAGGGGAATCAGCTGACAGCATTCAAACAACGAAGCTAAACGATTTAGTCGTCGGCGTTTTAACCAATCGGTGGCGGTAGTGTTGTCAAAGTTTTCTCTTTTTATGTGACAATTTACGTACCCCTTTACGTACCCAGCCAAAAATTCGAGCTTCGTTGTTGAACACAAGAAGCGTACGATGAACTTTCTTAAGGTGGAAATACATAAAGCACTTATTTGGTAGGCTTTTTCGTAGAGGAACAAGTAAGTTTTAGGTTGATTTAGTTTGATTTTAGCCCTAGGCTCCATTGTTCTTTTCCGAAGAAGCCAGCCAAATAAACTCTTTATGTATTCCCACCTTTAACAGAGTACGCATTTTATTTGTTTCAAAAAGAAAATAATTACTAGGTTAGTAACTTTTATTAATTATAAACTATATTAATTCTTACAGGTTTTTATCGGGATTTTTAGCAAAGATTATTTTTGATTGAAAATAGAATTTTATTTTTGCTCGACGTTTGGTTAGTACTTTTTCAAGACTTTATTTATTTGAATTTTCTAATTATTTTCATTATCATTTATTATTATGCATTAAAAACTGAACTCTATGGACATATATTTAATACAAAAAATAATTAATAAAATATAAAAAACAAACAGCTGTGTGTTGCATTGATTTTGAATAAATAATTTAAAACCACGAAAATTGAATGAAAGGTCAACAACAACATATACAGCCAAAAAAATATTATATCAAAATTAAAGTCATATGGTATCATAAAGGGTGAAATAAAAAACTGCAACAGAGTCAAACGCCATAATTTTTACATTATTTTTTTAATTTTATTGAACGAAAGCAAAAATGACGGAAATAGCATCAAATTTGGAAATGAAGGGAGGAAGCTCATTTTGTAACCATTCTTGGGTGGCGTGTGCTGAGTGCGATGGTGCTGAGTCCTGTTGGAATGTCCTATGTCTGCGGCCAAAATGTTTGCGTGCCCAAGGCTTTAATACACCCTCCAGAATATTTTCGCGATAATATTCGTCATTTATTCTGATGCCACGGTCGAGAGCGGAGAGCGACCATCGACTGTTATGGCGGCCCACACCATCACCATGGCCGGAGCTTGAGTTCTGGTGGCCAACCGAAGGTGCACAGTTTTAGCTGACTTCTTTGGCAAGAAACACGATCATTTTGTTTGTTTACAAACTGCTGGACAAGGAATGTTTTCTTATCGGAGAAAACCAAATTCGGCAGTTAACCACTTTCGTCCAAGCGAAACAACTCTTTAGCTCTTTTGAGTCTATTTTCTTTGTGTTGTGGTGTAAGTTCTTGCATTTTTTGGAATTTCAATGGCTTTACCCCGAGCTCATTTTTCAATATTTGCCAAATGAAATTTTTCGGCCACTGTGCGGGTTTCGATCAAGTCGCTTCTTTACTTTTCGAACTATTTATGCTGATGTTGCTGTTTTCTTCCGTCCACTTCCTTGACGTCGGGCTACGCTACTAGTAACACGGTAACGAGTGATGGTACGAGACACAATAAATTTATTCACATTTAAATGGTTTTCCAGCCAAATATAAAGAAATCACACTATCACGCTTGAGTTCTATCACGAATAACTTTTTTCTCAAAATTCTCAGTAGAATGCTTTTGTACGCTTGTAAATTCTATAATGAGCTGTCACTGGAATTATTTTAACAGCTATCGGACGAGTGGCTTTAAAATGACAGTAGTCTGAAGTTGGTTGCAGTTTTTTCATCTCACCCTATAATCTTAGTGATATGTTTTATTAAAAAATGTTCCGCTAAACTGTTTCTTTTCATTATATTATATAAATAGCTAAGCTTAATATATATAAATGTCGCAAAATTAAAACATTGCGACATAAAGGACATACTAATAATGTACACGTATACATTACATCAAAACGTAAATGTAAACATGGCCTAATAGTTGTGCAAACTCTGTGTAAAGCGACCCTTAATTCATAAAGGAATGGTTGGCAACTCATCATTTGCCATTTCCCTTTCCGCTATATTCGTAAACAATAACTGACAATGACACAAAAATTATAATAATCAACCCTCCCCTCGTCATGATAACCCTTGAAATGTAAACAATGTATTGTGAAAGGTCGGAAATTAGTAAAAACTAATAAAAGTATTGTTTGAGTTATTTAATAAAATAAATAATAAAAAATGGTCAATTGTTCTATTTATTTTTGTGCAATAAACAATAATACGAACATTATCATTTAACAGTTTACTTTGTGTTTATTATTGGCGGCTTTTGTTTGTGAGAACCACCATTTATGGTGAGAGGGAGAGAGAGAGCGAGCAAAAGAGAATAAGAAACATTTGTAGGTGCCAGGGATGGAAACAACAAACAAATGGTACTTTTTAATTGTGCAAAAACGAAAAAACCAAATTTGCAGTAGAAATACATATATTCACGTAGTTATAAATAGAATTGGTATGTAGGTATATTTATAGGAATTTACAGGAACAAAAAATACAATAAAAATGTAACGTTCTCTAAAACAAATCAGATGAACGATCAAAATACTTCTTAATTAGATTAAGAAATTTTTAAATTTAGCTTAAAAGTATTCTTTAGTTTGCTGCAGCTGGGACAAGTATGAAGATCGACAATATTGACTGTATAATGCTCGCTGAAGGTTGTCACTTCGCATTTTTAGTCCAATTGGCACTAAATTGGTTAAAGGAAGTTGTCAGCGTAGGTATTCGTTTTAGTTCAGAATCTATATAGTAGATTTTGTGAAGATTTTGAATTTTTTTTTTGCCGATAATTCTGGGGTTTTGATCTATAAATACTGACTTGAATAAAACTTCAATCGATAACTACACAAAATTAACAGCGCCGATAAAGTTTCCTTAAGAAGAAGGGTTTAAAATCTCTATTTTTATACGTTTAGGTTAGGTTAAAGGATGCGCGGTTGTTTGAACAACCACTCCGCTCGGTGACCTGATGGTCCATTGTGTTCATCCTATTTGAAGGAAAGGAAAGAAGGATAAGTAGGAAAATAAAGAAGAAGAAAGGATTTAGAAGATAGACTTCAGACTGCTTTCATTTCTAATCCACTCGTCCGACATCTGTTTAAATTATTCTGTTTAAAAGCGTACAAAAGCATTTTGGTGAGAATTTTCCAAAAAAAAAAGTTATTTGTGATGGAATTCAATCGTGATAGTGTGTTTTCTTTATATTTGGCTGGAAAACCACAAGTGGCTATCGTTGGAGCACGCCACTTCAGCATTTAAATGTGAATAAATATTTTGTGTCTCATGCCATCGCGCGTTAACGTGATACTGGCAGCGTAGCCCGATGTCAAGGGGAAATGGTTCGAAAAGTAATTAAGAAGCGACTTGATCGAAACCCGCGTCGCAGTGGCCGAAAAATGGCTCTGAGCTGAACATATCGCAATATTCCATTCAGCAAATATTGAAAAATGAGATCGTGGTAAAGCCTTTGAAATTCCAAAAAGTGCAAGAACTTACACCGCAACAGAAAGAAAATAGACTCAAAAGAGCTAAAGAGTTGCTTCGCTTGGCCGAAAGTGGTGAACTGCCGAAATTGGTTTTCTTCGGTGAGAAAACATTCGTTGTTCAGCAGTTTGTAAACAAACAAAATGATCGTGTTTACTTGCCAAAGAGGTCAGTTGAAAATGTACACCTTCGGTTAGCCACCAGAACTCAAGCGCGGGCAATGGTGATGGTGTGGGCCGCCATAACAGCCGATGGTAGCTCTTCGCACGTATTAATCGACCGTTGCGTCAGAATAAATGCCGAATATTATCGCGAAAATATTCTGAAGGGTGTGTTAAGGCCTTGGGCATTTTGGCCGCAGATCTTGGACATTCCAACAGGACTCAGCACCATCGCACTCAGCACGCGCCACCCAACAATGGTTACAAAATGAGGTTCCTCTCTTCATTTCCAGCGCACAATGACCACCAAAATCTCCAGATACCAATCCGTTGGACTATTGTGTCTTGAGTACTTTGAGAAGCAAGGTTGGCACTAAAAAATACCAAATAGTCGATCACCTCAAGCAAGCGCTTCGCCGGGAATGGGGCAAAATACCGCAGAGCAACATTCGCGCAGTGTGTGACGGTTTCATTGGCCGTTTGAAGGCCATAATTCGTGCTAAAGGCGATCAATTCAAGCAAATCTTAATATATTCTAAAATTTGATGCTATTTCCGACATTTTTTACTTTCATTTAATAAAATTTAAAAATGTAAAAATTATGGCGTTTGACTTTGTTGCAGTTTTTTTATCTCACCCTATATACCTTTCGGCAAAACCGTAAGGAATTTGGAAAAATATATTTTTGAAACTCTTCTTTCCTGAAGTGTTTTTTTCTTTTCTGTTAAATTTTTTGGATTGGCCCTTTTGTTTTGGAGAGTAAATTGTTTTGCTTGCAAGTTTTTTTTTGCAGGGATTTCGTTTGTTTACTTTCTCTCTCTCCCTCTCTCTTTGAGAAAGAAATTAATTGACAATTCTAACAGGAAAAGTAACCAAACAGATCTTGTGCTACCATTAATGAATTTTTAAGATGGTACTAAATACGTGCCGCATTGTACAATTGTATTGCCATTTCCATCCCTGGCTGTTGGTAACACATAAGAGAACAACAGTTTTGTCTGTGTTTCTTTCATTCTGTCTGCCTGCCTGCCTTGACAAACAACATGCTTGAGGTGATTCCATCCATGTTCTCTGCA